CTTTGGAGTCACAAACTCTTGAAAGGAAGAACCTCAGGTGCCAGAACCCAATCAGACCTGCAGGGTAAGCACAGTCAGTCCTCCGAATACTGAAGCCTAGGGTCCATTTTGCGAGTTGGAGAATCATATGATTCCACCCCAGAAGTGGTAAAGGTCCGAGGCCTAAGACCTGAGGGGGTGCACACAGAAAGATCAGGAAGGAGACATTGGAGCAGCTAGCCCCGAAAGTGTGACAATTAGTTATTAATGAGACAGGATGGAGTGAACCAAGGGATACACTAGAGTTATTGCTGAGAGGTGATGGAATAAGTCAATGAGCTTGACAATTGAACAGAAAAATCCAGCCAGGAAATGCATTCTTGTTCTTAATATACTGCATCTGGAGGTTCCAGCTCGATTGGCTAGCACAGAGAAGAGGATTACTGTTTATATGGCAATTTGGGTTTTATTTTGTGTTAGAGAGAACTTGCATTTTATTACAATGAACCGAGTAGTGGGGGGTGTTTATTAAGTTAATGATTTTAAGGCCAGATTCACTAGTATGCGCCAACTGGTCTGCACTGCTCCAATGATGAAAAGCAGCAATAAACCTGGTGTAACTGGCCAGTTAAGCTGAGTTTATGGCTGTTTTGCATCACTGAAGCAGCATAAAGCAGCCAGAGTATACTGATGAATCTGGTCCTTAAAGTCTACTGGGAATTAGAGATAGGAGATCATGTTTAGCATCACTGTATTCAAGCAATCATAAAAAGAAATGATTGTAACCTTTTAAGAACCAGGATGAAATACTGGATCCACTGAAGTCAATGATAAAACTCCTATTGACTTCAGTTGAGTCAAGATAATGAGAGGGTTTTTTTCCTTTTAATTGTCAGTACTACAGTTGTAAATATTGACCACATGCTTGGTTTCAAATGGGCTTGACAGGCAAGAATAATTGAAAATGATGGGAATAAAGAACCATGCCTGTAGCTACGTCTAGGATGAATTATTCCCTGTTTCATATTTCCCTCACTACTCTGATCTGAACCAGAAAAGACTTTCAGAAGCTATTTGTGTTGATCTTTAATCATGAGGAACCCAAAGTGTTAGTTTTTACTGAAAATTCTCAGCCTGCTTTTTCCATCACCTCAGCTAAAAGGAAATGAATGTCTAGAACCTGGATGTTTTCCAGCCAATTTTTTTTCCATATCTGAAGGCATCTCATGTTCATGAAGCCCAGAAAATGCTATTGTGGTCAAAATTATAGAGTTTTAAATTTGGGTAAATAATAAACCCTGGGGATGTGTGCAGGTCCTGACATTGGGATGTGTTTGGGTTTGTGTTCGTACCTGCCTGATTTAGTTTTTTCTTCTGGATGAGTTTAAAAGAGGTGGGGTGTTACTGAAAGAGAGACAAAGGCCCTTTGAAGCGCGTAACTAATTATTTATATCCCTCATCCCAGGCTAAACACTTTTACTCATGGTGAACACAACTCACCAGCCTGTCCTCCCACTGCCTCTCCCACCCTAAACCAGTCCCTTTCTTATGGTCTGTTAGGTAAAGGGAATTAGGTCCTTGACTACCTTTAAAGCTGCCAATTGGATGATGGGTGCAACTTGGCACAAATGTGCTCTGGATGCAGAAGCAGCACATGCACCATTGTTCACTTTGCACTTGTCAAAGCCCGGAGCTGTGGTATTATGTGCTTTCTAACGTGCAATGTCAGGCACCGGGATGTCCAAATCGCTGCTGTCACCAGCACACTGATTGCTGCCACATTTGGCACGCTGACGAGGCGCACAAAGCACACTGCCGCCATTCAGCTCAGAATTGTAAAGAGCTCTAAATCTCCTTCCATCCCCTGACAAGGCTTCCTCTGGCTGGAATTTGGCAGTTCTGGAAAAATGCCAGGTCATGGCCAGAAAGGGAGCCCAGACAGAGCTCTGGGGGTGAGAGAGCCAGGAGAGGCAAAGCCAGCAGTCTGGTGAGTTGGCAGCACCAGGAGCCAGTATTATTATTTCCTGCATAGAGTCATTCTTTTAAAGTTACAGTTTAGCTGGTTAGTTACTGGTTAGCTGAAACAACCATGTCCTTCAATAACAGTAGGGTTGTTTTTTTTAAAAAGGCCTGGATTATCTATATAGCTTGTTAGCTGGTTCCCCCATTATCCATCAAGGGTGGAGCCCAGGAAAAAGAGACAGGGGACCAAGTAGGAGACAAAGTGCCAAGGACTGCGGGGAGAACAATTTAGCATCTGGCACACCTAAAGTGCTTCAGCTCCCCTCATGCATCTTGTATTCTGCCTCTTCTCCAGCTTCCTCCCTCCGAACTCCCCCACTGCTGGGTAATAACATACTTGGTGTTTACAGCCCACTCCAGACAGGAATCTAAAATCGCTTAATAAACATTCATGAATTTAAACACCACCAGTGAGGTAGGTGGAGTATGTTTTATGAACCCCATTTTACAGCTGCGGAAGCTGAGTGTTAGAGCACTGTGCTTATTTCCCAAAAGTCACACAGGAAATTTGTGGCGTGGCTGGGATTTTCTTTCTTGATATCCAGCTCTGTGGTTTAACTGTAAGGCCTCCTTGCCTGAGACCTTCAGAGAATCAAAATCATACTGTACATTGAAAGCTAATAATAATATTAAAGAACAACAAGCTTCTCCCTCCTCTGGGTTTCCCCGTATGTGAGTTCTGTGTCTGTCTAGGTTAGGCCGGCAGCTGGTGGTATGAAGGCTGATTGCTACACCCACATTGATTTCAGTGGGGGTCCATCCAAGCAGATTAGTCCACGTACATAGGTGCTATCAATAGCAGATTAAGATCTGTGATTGTAAGGTCCCTGGGTCAGGGTATCTCTCACATTGCATCTTGTCGAGTGCTGAGCATATAGTCAACACTACACTAATGACAGTGTTCTTGATCACACTTCATATTAAGGGTACATGTGTACATTTATGAATGGTTCATAAATGACTAATATCTTATAAGCATGGTACATATAGGGGTAGTATGTGTTATGGATGGTTATAAGCACATCAGTAAAAGGTTTAGATGTTTATAAACAATTGATAAACTATTCATTCAAATATAATTAAAATAATATTATTCATTATCTCTTTATAAGCAATTTAGAAATGTACCCTTAATATATTATAAAGTGTGATGTCATATCAATATTAATCAATTAATAGATTAAATACATTGCATGCTTGCTGTTTCTGGTATCACAGTGTATAGACAACTACATTAACAAGTTTCAAATAAACCTCTTAAAAAAAACTAGTTATTTTTATCTAGTGCTCTCCAGTTAAACCAATTTTTGCCTTTCAGTCCTAATGAAGTTAAAATGAAGACTAAATGGTATTTCCTTAAACCTAAAAGGCCCCCAATTTTTCTTTCTTATCTCAGTCCTCGGGGTTATCTTCTTGCTGTCATCACTCACCACACCTAATCACTTTCACACTAGGAAGCACCATGGGTCAGACATGAGCCAAATATTTGGAAATCTGCTTTATTTGCCAAAAAATACACCCAGTTTTGGGAGTGGGGGTTAATAAGCAAATGGACAAAAGCTTTTTACATCCAATGCTCGCTACTTCAAGTAGTGCTTACTGTTGTGAGTAAGCCCATTGACTTCAATACTATTCATGGTAAAGTACTATGCCAAGTAGTAAGGGTGAAATCCTGGCCCCACTGAAACCAATGGAAAAATTCCCATTGACTTCAGTGAGGCCAGGATTTCACGCTAAGGGTTTGTCTACACTGCAATTAAACACCAGCAGCTGGCCAGTGTTAGCTGACTTGGACTCGCAGGGCTTGGATCCACGGGGTTGTTTAATTGCAATGTAGATGTTTGGGGTCAGGCTGGAGCTCAAGTTCTGGGACCCTCCCTCCTTGTGGGGTCCCAAAGCCTAGGCTGCAGCCCAAGTCTGAATATCTACAACTCAGTTAAATAGCCCCTTAGCCTGAGCCCCGCGAACCCAAGTCAGCTGGTACAGGCCAGATGTGGATTTTTAATTGCAGTGTGGACATACCCGAAGTCAGGGGTCGGCAATGTTCGGCACGCGGCTCGCCAGGGTAAGCACCCTAGCAGGCCGGGCCAGTTTATTTACCTGCTGACGCGGCAGGTTCGGCCGATCGCGGCCCCCACTGGCCATGGTTCGCTGTCCCGGGCCAATGAGGGTGGCGGGAAGTGGCATGGGCCGAGGGATGTGCTGGCCGCGGCTTCCCGCCACCCCCATTGGCCCGGGACAGCGAACCGCGGCCAGTGGGGGCCGTGATCGGCCGAACCTGCCACGTCAGCAGGTAAATAAACTGGCCCGGCCCGCCAGGGTGCTTATCCTGGCGAGCCGCGTGCCGAACATTGCCAACTCCTGCCCTAAGTGTTTCCAGGATCAGGAAAAGATGAACAGGAATGCTTCTCCTCTGGATAAAACTTACTTTGCTACTCCACTACCTTGTAGATAGGACAGAGCACACTGGGAATCTCATTACTCAACTCATTACTTTCCTTCATGCACCATGGGGGACAGCTGTTCCATAACATAACAGAGGGCAACCCTTCCCCAGGTGTGATCAAGCTCTAAAACCTCATCACATCTTACTGTCATATCAATTCCAGATGTCACAGACAGTCCAGTAAATCAAACCAGAGACAAACTGTTCAGAGAGTGCAGAGTTTGCAGACAACACACTCAGGGCCGGCTCTAGGCACCAGTGCAGCAAGCAGGTGCTTGGGGCAGCCAACGGAAAGGGGCGGCACGTCCGGCTCTTCGGCGGCAATTCGGCGGCGGGTCCCTCAGTCCCTTTTGGAGGAAAGGACCTGCCGCCGAATTGCCACCGAAGAATGAAGCGGTGCTGCCGAGCGCGGCTTTTTTTTTTTTTTTTTTTTGCTGCTTGGGGTGGCAAAAACACTGGAGCCAGCTCTGAACACACTGCAAGCTTTTCAGACTACTCCAGTTCACATCCCCAGTTCTTTTTCATTTATCTGTCTCTGCTTTTCTTTGTTCAGGTTATATACCGAGCTCTGTCACCACCTTATTCAGCTGAGGATCCGTACAGCGCTGAAGCTCAGGCACAACTGAAGATCACCAATCTTCGAGTGCAGCTGCTTAAGCGACAGGCCTGTCCCTGTCAGGGTAATGACCTGAATGCAAAGCCTCAGCAGTTCATACACTATGCAATCTATGATTTTATTGTAAAGGGAAGCTGCTTTTGTAATGGCCACGCTGATCACTGTGTACCTGTTGCTGGATTTATACCTGTCAAGGCGGCAGGAGTCTTCCATGTGGTATGTATGATCTGTGTAAGCTTTACCCTAAGATAGACAAGAAATACAGTAGAGTTGCTTTTTGTTTGCTTGTTTTTGTACATAATATTCATAGATTCCAAGCCCAAAAGGGACCATTGTGATCATCTTGTCTGACCTCCTCTATAACACAGGCCATAGAAATTCCCAAAATAATTCCTACTACAGCAGATCTTTTAGAAAAACATCCAATCTTGATTTTAAAATTGTCAGTGATGGAGAATCCACCCTGACCTGTGGTAAATTGTTCCATCAGTGGTTAATTACCCTCACTGTCAAAAATTTACACCTTGTTTCCAGTCTGAATTTGACTAGCTTCAACTGCCAATATAATTTATGTGTATAACCCTAGTCAAATGGTATTCCCCAAAATCAAAACAAACTGAACCAAAGCAATGTTCTAATAGGGGATGGCTTAGTGATCTAAGCATCAGGTTTGAACTACTTTAACTTCCTGGTGCCATAGTTGAAAGCCGGGCAGGGTCAATTCAGATCCTCATCCTTCCAAAGAAGATAAATGACCTATCTGCAGTATATTATTGTGCCTCTCAGATGAAACCTTAAAAACTAAAGTCACTTCCCCCCTCCCCCCACCTTCCACCTAAACCCTTACTAAAAAAAGAGGAAAGTAATACAATCCAACCAAATAAAACCTACCCCAAGCAGAGTTTAGAGCCCCCAGAAGACAGAAGAGACAGGTTCTCCATGAAGTCTGCTTGGGATTTTGCTTTGCTATTACATGGAAGGCACTCAGATACTACAGTGATGGGTGACAATATAAAACCCTAAGACAGATAGATAAGCTAGATGCTGGCTCTGTATAGACTTTAAAGTTCCTAAAGTACTTGTTGTAAGAGTCAGACTTTTCACATTATTCTGCAGCAGGCTGTGCACCAGTTGGCTGCCATCCTCCATCCCACAGATGGCTGCATGTGTGTAGTTTGTGAAAGGCTTTGGGATCCTTTGCTGTGTTACAAACCGATTTATATGGATTTAAGATTTTTAAATGTGTGGTTATCATATAAAAGCATGTATCCGCCTTGCCTAGAGTGGAGTAGAACAGGGACACACTCAAAACAGGTGACACCTGGATCTGCAAGTCTAACTGGACTCTTTGAATGTTAACTGAAGGTTAAAGTAAATAAGATGTTGGTCACCAGCATTTTAACTATCTTGTCACCAAATTTAATCTGAAAACAGTGCATTAGTCACTAGAGGTCTGATCCAAAGGCCATGGAAGTCAAAAGGAATCTTTCCATTGACTTCAATGGACTTTGGATCATGCCCTTGCTGAGGATGTCCTCTGCTTACTATCAAGAGCACAACCATCTCAGGAAGTATTAGGCACTCTGGCATAAAAAAAGTGGGGAAAGGCAGGTTAACCAAATGCTATAGATGAGGGAATCTGACATCTGGCGAGCTCCTTGGGGAAAGAATAGAACACTCTCATTTGAGTTAAATTATAGACTCAAACATGAAGAAGATGGCATGTTTCCCCATAACAGAGCTAGTCTTGTCATCTGAAGATCCACAAATCTGAAAGCATGCCACAGTTTGGTAAGTCTGTTTCAAGTAGCAATACTCTGGTTTTCACAGCTGTTTTTAGAGTGAAATTCTTTGAAAGGAGCTGTTTCCTTGGGATTCATAGAATCATAAATCATAGAATATCAGGGTTGGAAGGGACTTCAGGAGGTCATCTAGTCTCCTAATGCGGAGAGTGGACTAGATGACACATCTGAGGGAAGGGAGCAGAAGGAGACTCCACCGATTGGAAGGCAAAAGATGCACTGTCCTAGGGATGAGGGTTCCACAACCACCACCCCCAAGAGGAGGAGGCGGGTGGTGGTGGTCGGAGACTCCCTCCTCAGGGGGACTGAGTCATCTATCTGCTGCCCCGACCGGGAAAACCGAGAGGTCTCCTGCTTGCCAGGAGCTAGGATACACAATGTGATGGAGAGAGTGCCGAGACTCATCAAGCCCTCAGATCACTACCCCTTCCTGCTTCTCCACATGGGCACCCATGATACTGCCAAGAATGACCTTGAGCGGATCACTGCAGACTACGTGGCTCTGGGAAGAAAGATAAAGGAGTTTGAGGCGCAAGTGGTGTTCTCGTCCATCCTCCCTGTGCAAGGAAAAGGCCTGGGTAAAGACCGTCGAATCGTGGAAGTCAACGAATGGCTACGCAGGTGGTGTCGGAGAGAAAGCTTTGGATTCTTCGACCATGGGATGGTGTTCCAAGAAGGAGGAGTGCTAGGCAAAGACGGGCTCCACCTAACGAAGAGAGGGAAGAGCATCTTCGCAAGCAGGCTGGCTAACCTAGTGAGGAGGGCTTTAAACTAGGTTCACCGGGGGAAGGAGACCAAAGCCCTGAGGTAAGTGGGGAAATGGGATCCTGGGAGGAAGCACAAGCAGGAGAGCATAAGAGGGGAGGACTCCTGTCTCATACTGAGAAAGCGGGATGATCGATGAGTTATCTTAAGTGCCTATACACAAATGCAAGAAGCCTGGGAAACAAGCAGGGAGAACTGGAAGTCCTGGCACAGTCAGGGAACTATGATGCGATTGGAATAACAGAGACTTGGTGGGATAACTCACATGACTGGAGTACTGTCATGGATGGATATAAACTGTTCATGAAGGACAGGCAGGGCAGAAAAGGTGGGGGAGTTGCGTTGTATGTAAGAGAGGAGTATGACTGCTCAGAGCTCCGGAATGAAACTGCAGAAAACCCTGAGAGTCTCTGGATAAAGTTGAGAAGTGTGAGCAACAAGGGTGATGTCGTGGTCGGAGTCTTCTATAGACCACCAGACCAGGGGGATGAGGTGGACGAGGCTTTCTTCTGGCAACTAGCAGAAGTTGCTAGATCGCAGGCCCTGGTTCTCATGGGAGACTTTAATCACCCTGATATCTGCTGGGAGAGCAATACAGTGGTGCACAGACAATCCAGGAAGTTTTTGGAAAGTGTAGAAGACAATTTCCTGGTGCAAGTGCTGGAGGAACCAACTAGGCGCAGAGCTTTTCTTGACCTGCTGCTCACAAACAGGGAAGAATCAGTAGGGGAAGCAAAAGTGGATGGGAACCTGGGAGGCAGTGACCATGAGATGGTCGAGTTCAGGATCCTGACACAAGGAAGAAAGGAGAGCAGCAGAATACGGACCCTGGACTTCAGAAAAGCAGACTTTGACTCCCTCAGGGAACAGATGGGCAGGATCCCCTGGGAGAATAACATGAAGGGCAAAGGGGTCCAGGAGAGCTGGCTGTATTTTAAAGAATCCTTATTGCGGTTGCAGGAACAAACCATCCCGATGTGTAGAAAGAATAGTAAATATGGCAGGCGACCAGCTTGGCTTAACAGTGAAATCCTTGCTGACCTTAAACGCAAAAAAGAAGCTTACAAGAAGTGGAAGATTGGACAAATGACCAGGGAGGAGTATAAAAATAGGCTCAGGCATGCAAGAGTGAAATCAGGAAGGCCAAATCGCACTTGGAGTTGCAGCTAGCAAGAGATGTTAAGAGTAACAAGAAGGGTTTCTTCAGGTACGTTAGCAACAAGAAGAAAGTCAAGGAAAGTGTGGGCCCCTTACTGGATGAGGGAGGCAACCTAGTGACAGAGGATGTGGAAAAAGCTAATGTACTAATGCTTTTTTTGCCTCTGTCTTCACAAACAAGGTCAGCTCCCAGACTGCTGGACTGGGCAGCACAGTATGGGGAGGAGGTGACCAGCCCTCCGTGGAGAAAGAAGTGGTTCGGGACTATTTAGAAAAACTGGATGAGCACAAATCCATGGGGCCGGATGCGCTGCATCCGAGGGTGCTAAAGGAGTTGGCGGATGTGATTGCGGAGCCATTGGCCATCATCTTTGAAAACTCATGGCGATCGGGGGAGGTCCCGGATAACTGGAAAAAGGCTAATGTAGTGCCCATCTTTAAAAAAGGGAAGAAGAAGGATCCAGGGAACTACAGGCCAGTCAGCCTCACCTCAGTCCCTGGAAAAATCATGGAGCAGGTCCTCAAGGAATCAATTATGAAACACTTAGAGGAGAGGAAAGTGATCAGGAACAGTCAGCATGGATTCACCAAGGGGAAGTCGTGCCTGACTAACCTAATTGCCTTCTATGATGAGATAACTGGCTCTGTGGATGAGGGGAAAGCAGTGGATGTGTTATTCCTTGACTTTAGCAAAGCTTTTGATACGGTCTCCCACAGTATTCTTGCCGCCAAGTTAAAGAAGTATGGGCTGGATGAATGTACTGTAAGGTGGATAGAAAGCTGGCTAGATCGTCGGGCTCAACGGGTAGTGATCAATGGCTCCATGTCTAGTTGGCAGCCAGTTTCAAGCAGAGTGCCCCAAGGGTCGGTCCTGGGGCCGGTTTTCTTTAATATGTTTATTAATGATCTGGAGGATGGTGTGGACTGCACTCTCAGCAAGTTTGCAGATGACACTAAACTGGGAGGCGTGATAGATACACTGGAGGGTAGGGATCGGATACAGAGGGACCTAGACAAATTAGAGGATTGGGCCAAAAAAAACCTGATGAGGTTCAACAAGGACAAGTGCAGAGTCCTGCACTTAGGACGGAAGAATCCTGTGCACTGCTACAGACTAGGGACCGAATGGCTAGGTAGCAGTTCTGCAGAAAAGGACCTAGGGGTCGCAGTGGACGAGAAGCTGGATATGAGTCAACAGTGTGCTCTTGTTGCCAAGAAGGCTAACGGCATTTTGGGCTGTATAAGTAGGGGCATTGCCAGCAGATCGAGGAACGTGATTGTTCCCCTTTATTCGACATTGGTGAGGCCTCATCTGGAGTACTGTGTCCAGTTTTGGGCCCCACACTACAAGAAGGATGTGGAAAAATTGGAAAGAGTCCAGCGGAGGGCAACAAAAACGATTAGGGGTCTGGAGCACATGACTTATGAGGAGAGGCTGAGGGAACTGGGATTGTTTAGTTATGATACAGTTGTGTGGAAGCATGCCCAAAA